CACACACACACAAACACACACACACACACACACACAAACATACACACAGACACACGCAAACATACACAGATACACGCAGCACAGACACCACATCGCCCTCTGTGTCGGACGTTGATCGTGCACCGCTGTGCTGTTGTTGTGGAGTGGCTTACTCCTCATCCAACAGAGCTCGTCTTCGGTTCAGTATAATTCTTTTTTTCCCCACAACATTAACCCGAATAGAAAAAAAAGACTTCATTTTTTTTCGATTTTTAACAGCACTTCAGCAACCCTTTGAAAACGTATTAAAAGTTGGAAAGGAATGAAAAAATATCTTCAGCAACAACGACAACAGCATCAACAGTATTATTTTTGTTGTTGTTGCCATTTTTCTTGTTTGTCCTAAGAACTCATATTCCTCCTGTTCATAAATCGCTTCAAAAATCTAGTTTTCCAAATTTCTGTGCATTTCTTCATTTTAGTTTTTCTCTTGCCACCTGTATTATTTACTGTTACTTTTTCATCTACTGCTCAGTAATTGGAAGATGATCTACAGTTAGTTTTTACTGCAAATATGCTGTCATATTTAAACTTTGAAGTGGTATTGCTAAAGCGTTATTTTAAATTTTTCATCGCAAAATAATTTTAAATGTGGCATAACCACGAAAGATTTCTTGTATCTTTGATGTTGAAGAAGAGACTTTTGTACCTCTTCAAATCTTTTATTGTGCTTTTATTTGTTTCGCCGATGACTTTTTTTTTGCCAGTCGCAGTTTGACTAGGATTATCACACTTTGCTAATTCTCTTCTCGACACTTCTAGGTCTTTTTTCTTGACAAATTATCTCAACGGAGACTAGTTTTGTGAATAAATAGTGTTTAATATGGTATTAACGACTGGTCTAATGTTAACAATTTTCACACTTGTTAAACTAATTGATTTTCATGTATCCATTCAAACTTCTTGCTGCTTTGCAAAAGAACTTTACCTTTTGGCGTTTTTTTTTAAGTAATGGTATTTCTTGGAAACTTCAGTATCTGAGAATTTAGAAAAGAAGGATCGAATTATAATATTAGATCTATCCATTA